CTAAACTCATCTGACTTGTAGACTGAGATTTCCCACCAGGCACTTAAGTTTGATGGGAATTGTGTGTAAAAGTTATGGTGTGGATGACTAGATTTGTTGGCAGGGGGAGCGTGTGACTTTATCTGTAGCATTCCAATGGGAACTCTAAAGTTTGAACTATACAATGTGGTTTCTGTCCTTGGAGAAGTTTTCCGTTCATGAGACCGTTAAAGTCAGTTTCTGACCTCCCAAGATCTTCTTCTGGTAACTGTTGTCAGCTTGATCTCAGCAAGTTGTGATGTAAAACAATCTTGTTTCTGGTCACCCACCATCCAAAGATGTAGCCCTGTGTCATTTGTGTGGTCCAGGAAGAGAGAAGGTAACACTTGTTTCATCACTGTGAATTCACTTTTTTTTTCCTGTGAAGGAGTTCCTCTTCCCAGTCACCCCCAGTTACAAGAAAATTGCATGGATTCATAATGCTCTCCAATTTTGATAATTTTATTCTATTCACCAAGTGTGGAGAATTTATGTCCATTGGATCTATGTCATTAATAGTGCTACATCCTTTAGAATAATATCACAATAAAAAAAGAACTTCTAAATGGTTTAGCCTGCATGCAACTCTGATTGCCGTTAATTAGGGGGAAAAAATCACAAGCTAAAAATAGTAACAGACTTGAGGTTAAAAATCAGAGTAATCAACTGAAGAAAAAAAGTCTTAATTTGTCACCAGTGGATAATAGTTTCTCTAGTCATTAAGTAACTTTGACTGGCCCTCTGTGTTTCTCAGGTTGGAGTTCTTCATGGAGTGGGAGAACGCATTCCCCTTCCCCACAGTCACGATCACAACCATCCTATTGTTCGTCGATTGCCTTGAGCAGGCCCCAGTAACGTCTCCTTCGTCCTAGCCCTGAGATTTTTAAAAAAGTGCCATATTCAAGGCTCTTTCAGGGTTAGGAGAATGAGACCCCTCATTGTTACTGGTATTTGGCATATTGGGTACACCACAGGGAGTTTGCCAGACTCTGCCATGTGGGCAGGTTACATTCGGTAGCCTGCCAGTTTGTTCAAAGTAAGAATGAGATATTAAGATGTCTCACGGGTGCGAATGTGTCCGCGCGCTTCGGAGAGCTGGGTTTTATAGTCTCTGGGTCTTGGCCGTTGATGGCATTACATGGCGCCAGGGGGCCAGTTGGTGGGTGTGACCCCTGCCTACTGGAATTTGGAGGATCTGGGTGGAGGATGCTCAACCCCGATCTGAGCAGGCTTGGAGATCTCAGTAGATCTCCAAGTAGTCTGAGATAAGTGAAATGGAAAAACGTCACCCTTCTGCCTGAGAATTAGGTTTCTGTAAACCTTGACTTATATGCTTTCCATGCTGGTGATGGTCAGAGAGGCAGCTGGAGGAAGCAGGGGGTTTCTGGACATGCCCCAACTTCTAGTAGTGTTTCCTTGGGAATGGGGAGATAATCATTTGGCACAATGCAAGTCCCTACTGACTTTCCTTTTGTACAAATTATGTCTTTGCGAGCAGGAACACTTTGGGGGCACTAATGTGTTCAAACTATAATTTGATATATAGTTTTCTGGGATTGGTTTTCATGAATTTTGAGGAAACAACAGACTTTGAGGTGAGCCTTTTGTGATTTTAAGACAGTCTTGTACTCTACCCAAAGATGACTATACATATAATATAAAGACGCTTATTTTTATGTAGTGGAGTGAAGAAAGAGCTTTTCCCTTTGTTTTGTAGGGGTATGTGCATTCATTTAGAGGGTGGAATGAAATATGAAATATAAAAGATGGTAGGGGGACCAGTTTTGTAAAATGAGGCTGGACGAACCAAGCCTTTCTCCGCAGTCTACCACCCCACCCCTGCCCTCCATCAAGGCTGTTTTCAGCATTTCTCTCTTTACAACAGGTTAGATGTTTGAAAATTTGGTTCTGATTTTTTTTTTTTTTTTTTTGCTGGAAGAGTAGACTGTATCGGGAGCTGGACCTGAGATGCCACAGAACAGCTAGGGAGGAATGCACATAACAGGGAAATTCCTGATGTTTCCTCCGATCATGAAGCAACATGTGCTCAGCTAATTACTGTTCTCTGTGACGGCTCTCGCATCTTGGAACTCTCCATGACCCAGTTGCGGAAATCCTGTTCATCTGCCTCCCACCTTCTCCCTCAAAGAATGAAAAAACAGCAAATTACAAGACTGGGCTTGTTTAATGAATACGATTTGTTTTGGTTGAACCAAAGACCCAGGAGGTCTTGGAGGCTGTTCCTTTGGTGCTGGATTGCAGAATGACTCCGAGGTCCACGTCTTCACAGGGGTTGACTCTGGACAGTGTCTCCTCTTGTCAGGGGTGCTACCTGTCTGAAAGCATTTTATTTCTTTTCTGTGATCCCAGAGCAAAGTGCCCTTGACAAGTAGGAGAGTCCTCTTCCTAACTCAGCCAGAGCTCTGGCTAGCAGGCAGCACGCATCAAGACTCTCCCGTTTCGTCAGTGCAGTCTCCCCTCTCTGTGACCTTTTTCTTTCACTAGCTAGAGTTTCCTGTGGTCCTCGTGACCCCCTGCTGCTGCTCTAACCTGAACTCTGAGTTCACCGATAGAAATTCAGAGTTACCTGGGACTGTCTAGTAAGATGCAATTTTCTGTCTACTGCCTTTGGATTCACTCACTTCCCAGAGTAGCTTTGCCCTCTTTATATTATGGTGACCCCCCTCTTCACCATCCATAAACAATTTCCTCCTCACTTGCTTATAGAAAACTTTGTCAAAATAAATTGAACATGACTTTTTTTAGGGGGGTTTGGGGGGGTGAAGAGAAATTTTGGTCACACTCTGTGCTGCTCAGGTTTCCTTCTAGCTCTGAGCCCAAAGATACTCCTGGCAGGACTCAAGGGACCAAACTATGGTGGCGGGCATAGAATCAAGTCAGCATTGTGTAAAGCAAGGGGCTTTATCCCCTGTGCTATTTTTATGGCCCCGCAGCATGACTTTTTATTTTTTCTTTTAATTTTTTTTTATTAGTGAATCACCGTGAGGTACAGTTACAGGCTTACAAACGTTTGTGCTTGTGTTTCAGTCATACAATGATCGAGTACCTATCCCTCCATCGGTGCCCATTTCCCACCACCAATGGTCCCAGCATCCCCCCCACCATCCCCATCCCGTTCCCTCCACCCTACCCTGCCTCTCTGGCAGGGCATTCCCTTTTGTGCTCTCTCTCTCTCTCTCTCTCTCTCTCTCTCTCTCTCTCTCTCTCTTCTCTTTGGGTGTTGTGGTTTGCAATAGAGGTATTGAATGGCTATCATGTTCACTCTATAGTCTACTTTCAGCAGCATTTCCCATCCAGAGTGGGTCCTTCTAGCACCCTTTACTTGGTCGTCCCTTCTCTATCTGAGCTGCCTTTTCCCCCAGCATCAACATGACTTTTTCCATAGTTCATATCAGGAGTCTAATTTTCATAGAGATATCGGATTAGTTATCAGCACATTTGAGTGAGTATGTGTGCATATTAATTAATAGGAAAATACTACTTAGTATCGTAGGGGAAAGGGGGCCTAAAGTAGCTTGATTCTATGACCAAAGAGGGGGAAAAATAGTTCTTGAGAACAGCCTGTTATTATACCCATTTAGATGCCTTCACCGGATGATATTACCCAAACTAATTAATAATGACATATTAGTTGACATATTGCCATCAGCAGGTGGCTGTTTGAGGGGGGTGACAATGGCTTGTGCTAAAAAAATTGTTGTACCCTAGAGAAATGTACAGGATTGTATTTTCAAAAAGACTTTTAATGATGCCTTCAATATGATTTTTTTCCCCAAGAGAGGTAAGATTAGGGAACTATCGCTTAAAAAAAAACCCAGCAAAAGAAAGCCGAAGTGATGCAGACTCAGCCAATTAAAGCCACAGCAGTATGCACACAGTTGGATGTGAGCAGCACAGTTTGCCTGTCATAGCTAAGATCCTGGGGAAGACTCAGGTGGCCTCATGCTTCCTTTTCACTCTCTTTCTCTGCCTCTCCTTTGTCCCTTCTTGATCTGTCAGGAGAGTCTTGGCACAAAGCAAAACAGTGACAGATGGGCAGCTGACTCTGGGCTTGATTGCAGAGGAAGCATTGTGGCAATGAAAGGGTTAAACTGGTCAACACCTCTCAGAGCTTGGAGAAAATTAGTGTCCTGCGAATCCCAGGACATTCAGGCAGGTGACCACACAACAACAAAGGAATTCTGCTTGTTACTGCTTCGGAAAAAGTACTTATTAATCTCTTTGCAGCTCCTGTACTGTGCATTTTGAATGCCTACGTTACTGTTTATGCATACAGATGATCATGATTAAAGATGATTGTAGAGCTTTTTTTTTATTTGGGAAGGTGCATTTTTGATTTGGTACATGCAGATGAAAGTTGAATAGAAGCCTACTCTCTGAGTATCAGATAGCTAGCTTTATTTGTTTATTTATTTGTTTATTTATTTATTTATTCCACTCATGGCTGTGCTCAGGGCTTACTCCAGGCTCTGTGCTCAGGAATCACTCCTGGCTGGGCTTGAGGATTATGCACAGTGCTGGGGATCAAGCCAGAAGGACATGTGCAAAACAAATGCAATACCCACTGTACTTTCTCCACTGACTCAAAATAGGTAGACTCCAGTGACATTGACTTTGAGAGTTCTAGATTGTAATGGTTGCTATAATATTGAGTGATGTGATCTTGAAAATCAATCATAAAAATATATTTCAGTTTTAAAAACTTTTTTGCACAAGAAACATAAAAGGAAAAATCAGTCATTTTTTGGAAACAAGGCTTCAGAAGATTATATATTTTCATTTATTATTGGTAAAGAAAAAATTAATAGGTCAAAGCTAATACTTCAAGCTGTTTTCCAAAAGTCTATGTGCTCACCAGAAAAAGACTAATGTGACTTGAAGTCAGACGAGGCATCTGTGATGGATTAGGGGAAAATGGGTGAAGGAGAATTTCAATAACACAGATATGTTCAAATCCACAGGTCTCAATGGCTGGCATCCTAGAGTACTTAATGAATTGGCCGAAGTCATCACAGAACCGCTAGATATCATTTTTGAGAACTCGTGGAGGACTGATGAGGTGCCTTGAAGACTGGAAAAGGGCATATTTAGAATCTTCTTTCCAAAGGGGAAATGGATGATGACCCTGGAAATACTCATCAGCTTAACTTTTTGCTTGGAAAAATCTGGAATAATCAACTTAGTGAACTTGGTAACTACCACACACCAGCTAGACGTGAGGCAGTGAAGATGCACTGAGTTCTTTTTTTAAAAGACAAACCATTGTGAGATGCAGTCATGTATATTTGGTGATTCTTCCTTTTATTCTACAAATCATTTTTTTAATTAAAAATTTTTTTGACTTTTGGGTCACACCTGGATGTGCTCAGGGATCACTCCTTCTGGGCTCTGGGGACCTTATGGGGTGCCAGGGATCAAATCTGGGTAAGCATGTGTAAGGTAAATGCCCTACCTGCTGTACTATCTCTCTGGCCCCTCATTGTACAAATTCTTGAAGAAAGTGAATGAGATGGACTCAGCCATATGAGTTTTACTACTTTCAAGTGTCATATAAGACTAAAACAAAACGAAAACAGGTTTCTGACATTGGTCAGTAATTTCATCCCTTCCAAGTTAGCCTTTATCTTAAGAACGGTAGTTTTAGTTCTCTATTTTAAGGTACTTTATTTTCATGTTAGACAAGACTAGGTTGACATATATGATGTAGTTCTAGAGAGACTGGTGTGGGGATTTTTAAGGTGTTTTCTATAGTTATTTCATATGTAAGTATAATCATGAAGCTGGATTGAGGACCATCACTAAGGGGAGACAGTTTTTCTAACTTCTCTTTGAAAATTTCCTCTGACTGGATTTTAGTGTGAGGGCTAGTAAGACTATCTTGCTGTTATATCCAGAGAGTTCAAGTCTTCTGTGTCATGTCCGAATTGGTTTTCTTCACCTCCTGGAGATTGGTAGGTTGGAGCAGGATAAAAAAGTCCCTCAGGATGACAGGCAGAAATCAAGGGTACAATGAGATAGCAGGGAGATGAGATGAATGTGGAACTTTCTTTTTCATTCTTTCATTTTGCCTTTGGATGTTGGTAGGATTATTTTCTGCCTGGAAAGTTCAGCTGTGTGGGTGACAAGACAACCGTGGTTAAAGTGAGGTCATAAGCATCAGATAATGGGGGAAGGCAGCCGAACAATACTGTACTGCAGTGTTTTCTCTGTATTATTGGAAGTCCTTAGAGTGAACATTTATATCAGCATGGTAATGCCCAGGAGTAAACTCTCAAAGCAAAATAAATTTGCATTAATTTCTTTTTGGTACATATTATTCCCTAGAAATGAGTAGGTAATGAAGGTCTCTAAGGGTAATTGATCCCAATAGTGCTCCAGAAATCTAAGATTTCCATGGTTAGCAATTTCTAAAGATTAATTTAGATACTAGGTAAAAGAATTCTTATATTTAGGTAAAAATGGAAGGAAATAAAGCTCTGCAGCATGTAAAAGTTAGTTCATAAGTATTATACTACAAACTCTAATTATTTTTATTTTCAAAAACTAGACTAAATTTTCCAAGCTAGATTATCTTTGGGGGTGGGGGGTCTGTATAGATTACAGATATAATTGATTGTGATAATAATTGGCTTCCTGTTTGAGACCTCATTTCCAGGTGCAGCATCTGTGGCAGATTTGTTTTCCAGATGTCCATTTGCATGCATTTGTTGAACTGTTGCAAGAAAAGACCCACTTTCTCAAAATTCTATAATGATCACTGTGAACACGTGATTTTACCAACTGCAATCTGAAAGGGGACTTTATGATCATTTTGGGTTTTATTTTCTACTTTGTTTAATGTTGTTATTGTGCCAAATTTAATGTTTGTGTCCGCTATTGGAATTTAGAAATAACAGGGTCAACCCAAATTAAGTCATACTCTAGAATGAGGTCTTAAAGATGCTTTACCTAAAATTAGAGGAAGACAACTTTCAAGTAAGCAGTGAAGTATTGAAAGAAGCCCGTTAATTCTTTTGCATTAAATTTAGATAAGGGGAGAGAACAGAAGAGACAGAAAATAGTCTTAGTATGAATTGTATCTGGAGATAATTAACTCTGCAAGAGAGTAATTTTTCCAAAGTGCTTTTTCTTCATATCTAAACATTCACAGTCTCCTTAATTTTTCAGATATAGGAAAAGGGTGAGGGATAAAATTGCCATCAGGATGAAAGAATTATCTGTACACCTGTAGATAATAATACTAAATTAAAGGTTTGGAAGTTGGTAAGAACATAGATCATTATCACAAATAAAAAAAAACTTTTTTGTGCAGGATGGATGCTAACTAGACATATGGTGGGATCCTTTCCCCGTGCATACAAATATTGAATCATTATGTGTACATTTGAAATCCATATAATTAAAAAACATCAGAGGATTAGCTTGATTTGTTTTTCCTAGAACATCCTAACATATTAATTATATGTTACTGTAATAATTACCATTATGTTAATTATATAATAATTACTATTATATTAATTAATAATAATATTAATTATATTCTTCATAACATTGAAGAATTTAGAGGATCATGGCAAATTTTTTCCTAGTTTGTCTTGAAGTTGAGGGGGGTGGAGAAAAGAAATATTTTATGTAAATATTTCTTGGCATATGGAAGGCATTGGTTGTAGGAACTCCTTTTTCCCCAAAGGAATTTACAACTGTAAAGAACAGCTCTACTTAGGCAATTTCTCAATCCAGAGACATTTTCAGATTCTTGTGAAATTCATAACAAAAACCAGAAGCCTTGAGTTTTTCCTTAGAATTACTCAGATCTTTGTTCTTATTCTGGAGGTATACTAATAATCCTTTCTTGCAGTAAATTTGTTAGGAACATAAACTAAAGTGTGGTAAAAAATTACCTTGTGTAATTATTAACCTCTTCTACACATTTTCCCCTTGTCCATAAATTGGGACAAATGGATACTTCCTAGAATTCTCAAGAAGCTCAACCTCACATCAGCACAAAGTTCTAGGTTTAGTGTTTTCACGTAGTAGATGCTACGTATTTCTCCTTTGCCTCTCCAAGTATTAAATGTTTATTAGTTGAATGAAAAGAATGTGATTTTTTAGAACAATGTGCAAGTTCCTAAGACTGATTTGTTTGAGTCTAGGGAAATTATCACATAGTCACATAAGATATTGATTTAATGTTCTTTCTTACTAATGGCTCTAGGTTTGTAAATTTCATGCATAAATTCTGATTAGCATATGTTGTGCTTTTACCCTTTAACTTTATGACAGTAGCATATGAATTTGTAGTATAAAAGGTCGTTCCCCCCAGAACGACTTCTGGGATGCATCCAAGCTGAGGCATGGCACAGTTGATGGTGGATCAGCAAACTCTTCTCTCAATGCAGAGAAGCCAGATGTGCAGTGACTGGAAAGCACCTGCCAGAAAGCTGAGATGAGCATGTCTGGATTTTTCCATATGACAAATCTAAGTGTGGACAACAGATCTCTTGCCTGGTGGGCATAGGAGAATAACAAAGAAGCAAGATGAAGGAAAATTGAATTATTTGACAAAATTTGTGGTTGATATACCTTTTGTTTTTCCCCACATGTAATGCCTAATTAGATATGAAGATCTATTTGGGCAGGTGGGAGATTTCTGAATTCAGTCTGTGTGAATAAAAAAAGTTCTGTCCATGACCTCGGAGAAGAGTAACTCCAACCCAGTTTTGACAAGTCTAGTTCTCTCTTCAGAACAAACAGGGAATTTCCACATAACAGGGAATTTTAAGACAAAATCAGCAGACACTTGAGCTTAGAATAAAGCCATCATAAATGCTTTATTAAATAGAACAACTTTGGTTGTGCCGAGAAAAGCAAATCAGTTAGGGTTTCTCGTTCAGAATTTTCTAATTTCATTCTTATTAGCAGCCTCAATGGTCACCAATTAAGTATTCCTCTATCAGATGTTTTTACACTAACAGATTCTTAGATGAGAAATCCTTCAGTTTTATATGATTACTGTTTAATAGGAGAAAATAAAATAGCTTTCTACAACATGACCATTACTATTTCCACACATTCCATAAAATGCAAATAGAAAATATCAGTATAGAATGGTAGTTCAACAAATAATGTAACTTTTTAAAAGCTTATCAAAATAGATAATTTCTTTGAACCTGTTTAAGCACCCAGAAATTAAATTTTTTTCTTATAATCGCTGTTGAAAATAACTTTAGAGGAACTGAGAGGTTAAATTCTATGTTAAGAGTGAGGGTAGAGTGGGTTTTTTATTTTATTTTTTTTTTCTTCTGACAATTTGGCCAAGATTTCTTCCCTGAAACAAAAGGAAGTCATTTTTTCCATATTATTTAAAAAGAGAAATGTCTTTTATGCATGTATTCTGTATTATGCATTTTGTCAGATGACTATTCCCTTATTATGTCAGAAATAAATGCTGTATTGAATAGCTCAAGGGCAAAGTGTTCTATTGATTGGGGGGAAAAGCTAGAAATTGTCTTGTTCATTGCAGTTGTTCTTGTGCTAAAGCTTGATAATATTCTGAGGTAGACTACTTGGGTTCCTAAGGCTATTGTTCATCGAAAAATTTTGCTCAGACATGTGTGCTTGGGCCTGAATAATCAGTATGAACAAGTGTATGTCTAATCAGGTGTGGATTCATTCTAAAAGGAAGCCTTAGTTTGGCTGTGTAACTCCCAGGCCTCTGCACATGCCTTTTGGTCATTGTTTCTAGAAGGGAGTCTGAGAAGGGCTGGAGGAAACAGACTTCTGAATGTGGGTCTGGGCTGGGCCTAGGTCTGTGTTTGCAAGCGAATGTCTGCTTTTCAATAAATGTTATGGTTTTCACAGCAGCTCCGCCTTGGCCTCTTTTGTAATTGTTCGCATTTCAAGGAATGGGATGAAGTATGTGTGTTGTTTAAATGACATTAAATAAATGTTTATGGTGCTGTTGCATGAGAAATCAGAATTCTAACTGGACAGAAAGGCCAAAGCGGGTTTACCCACACTGCATGCACAATTCAGATCAGTTGCTCCTAACCATGCTAGAATGATTGTTTTTGTACTATTATTATAGATGAAGAGGTTCCAGCTTCCTCCCTTCCCTCACTCCTCAATTTCTGCCCATAAATAGTATTCCTGAGCAATGGCATGAGATTCTATACCAGTAATCATGACCCACTGTGGGGGGATATGGGGGTACCAGGAGCTCATCTTTGCGATTCTACTGTGGCTCCCACAAGCCCTTAAATATTCATCTACCCAAAAGTATTGTATGGGGAAGGGGATACAGCTCAAATGATTGTTGATGCCTAGTGTATTTGAATCCCCAAGTTTGATCCCCAGCC